TATATTATATACCTTTTTCTCTATAACAAAATGGTCGTAACGTATCTATATTCGTAATCGGGTAATTCAGCTGAGTCGTGCTACTTTCCCAAAAGTACTTTTCTATTGCAATCGGACAGAATGGCATCAGTCGACTATATGATATAGCTTCCATGAAAACAGTCTTACATTTAATTGAAAAAAAGATTTAACTTTATCAGATTTGTATTTACAAATTGTATACAAATTAATTAAATAATTTCTGGAAATAAGAAATTAAATATATGAAGTTAAGAGCCAAATCCATTACAAGAACATATCAAATCAAAGAATGTATTAAATATACTAATTTTTTATCATCTTTGAAATGAAGAAGTGAAGGAAATTTGTATCGTACAAATACTATTTATGTACCTTCAAATACGACTTTTGCTATACCAAAATAAAGTCTACTTATATTGTAATTGACTTTTGAAATATGAACCTTAACATTTTAAATTTTTAGGGCCTTGTAAGCTAAATCATTAAATTATATAAGAGCAAAAGGCTTTTAGACAAATGTAAATGGTTACACTATTTGGTTTATTGAAACATTAATCATGTATTTATCCGTTATTAAAAGTCATTGGTACTCTTATCTTCAACTCAACGATTTCTTGAACTGCCATTTTGAACACTACTTTTAATTCGATTTTGGAACTTAGTCTTTAGCCTATATAAAACCAATATTTGATCACAAACTTGTTATTTTCTTAAGCTGCATATGTCTATTATGTTTATACCGCTTTTAACTTGTGCTGCACTTGAACTGAGTTTTTGAACATTCCATCACATCAACAATATAAAAATGTGAATTATAAAATAAAGGTTCTTTACATTTATTCTTTTCTTAAGCTTTATTTATTCAGTCTGTTCTATCCGCCGCAATTGGAAATTAAAAAAAAAAAAATAATTACTACGTTGCTAAAAGTTATATACGCATTACTCCGCATTAAAGTACGATTTAAAATTTGTAAATGAAAACTTAATCCTATATTTACCAACGAGAATATCTAAAAATGCATAACAAACGAAGCAATATGTTGTTCTTATAGCTTGAGAGAAATTATTTTTAGGACTCGAGAAACAGAAGTTAAATTTAATAAAAATCAAAAGATTACAACTTATATTAAATATTCAATCGAAATATAAAGTCGATATATAGAACAAGACTTTTTTAATTTGATTTTATATCTGCAAGGGTATATAAACTCCGGCTGGCCGAAGTAAGACCCTTTCTTGTCTATTTTTATATTTTAATTTTTACTTTCGTCAAGTTTTTCTATTACAACCCTCAATCAATCAGCTGTGAAACGCACCTGTCAGCTGCGGCGCTGGTTTGACCTGCGGCAGATTAAAGATGTCCTTGCTCTGGTTGTTCGCATAGCAGATGTGACAACTGCGCCCGGAGGCGCTCTTGTCGATGGCGGTGCTCAGGCTCTGGGTGCGCCGCAGTCCAGACCCCGATCCAGATCCAGATCCCGATACAGATCTACCTTTGAGGTGCCTCTTGTGCGAGTGCTGGGAATGTAACTGATGCTGGTGATGCTGATGATGCTGGTGATGATGCTGATGATCCTCCAGCTCCTGATGGAGGTAGTGGTGATGATGATGTGGGTGGTCCGCTGCCAGCAGCTCGCCACGATTGCCTAGACTTCCGGCCAGCTCCTGGCCGCGATCGGCAGCAATGGCGTCCTTGTAGATGGGCGCCAGATAGCTGACCGTGTCGCAGATGAGGCAGTGCCAGGTGACCGAGCTGTTGTCCGTGCCGCAGGCGTGGCACACCCACCGGCGGTTGAGGGCCGGATTCGAGAAGTGGCGGTACAGCTCGATGGAGCTCTTGATGTACTTGCGCGTGTCCTCGCAGTCCACACAATTGGCTGGCAGGTTCTGGCTGTTTCGTTGTGGCCTTTTCAAGCATCCGCGCAGCAGGGATTTGTAGACATGCTTGTACTCGCTCCTGCAAAATAGGTAAATGGGGTTTTTCGATTTTGTCGGCGCTCGGATGGGACTCTGTGTGGTGTTCCCGTCTTTCTGACCGCAAAGGTTATCTCAATGACTGGCCATTTTCCTACTCTCCGCTCGCTCGTCCGTTCGCCTCGGGAGTTATTCTGCTGTTCTGCTGGTCTGCTGTTCTGCTCGCCGAGCGAGTTGGCGAATCGATAAACTTGTAAACAATGCTTCTCTATCCAAATCGATTTTCCCCAATTCTCGCTGCTTGGCTGTTTTGTTGTTGCTTCTGCCGCTGCTGTGTATACATGCTCTCTCACACACACACACACACACACACACATGCTTAGGGACAATTGCCAGTGCTGAGACTTTAGCTCCAAAAGCTTGGTTTTACATTCTTCACTAATTATCTGAGGCTAACTCAGTAAAAGAGAATTATAATTTATCGTTTCTAAGTTTACTTTCGTTAAAAAAAAAATTAATTTTGAACAGCTTATAAGATTAAGTTAGAAGGTTGTGTTTCCTAATAGTTTTCATTGAGTTTAATCCAGAAACTTGGCTTCAAAGTTTTAGCAGTTGGATAATTAAAGACCAACACCAATCAGTGTCCTTTTTGCTAAAAGCTGTAATGAATATCAACCAGCTCAAAAAAACATTTCCCTTTTGTTTTTTTTTTGTTTGATCTTTTGACATATAAAGCAGTTTCACTTAAAAACTGTTTTAAAAGTATGCATCATGATGTGCGTATTTTTTAGAAATTTTGTTTTGCACTTCTTTAGGTACACTAGTTATTTGAAATCTGTAGGGATTTTAAGGATTTCCATGGCATGCTTGATAAACTTTTAGCTAACAATTTTTGTCCTCCACTTGAGTGTCAACACTGGCCCTCTCACACACACACACACACACACACACCGTCACAGAACTGGCACAGGCTGTTTGTTTTTGTGGCGACCGCTCCGCTTACCTGGCAACCGCCGCCCTGCCCTTCTCCTTGTCCTTGTCCCTCTCCTGCTCCTTCTCAGCCTGTTCCTGCTCCAGTGCATCATCAGCTGTCCAGGAGGCGGCGAGCCTGCGATGCTGATGCTGCGTCTGATGCTGCTGCAGTTGTTGTTGGGGGAACACCTTGCGCACAGTGCCGCAATTAAAGCACTTGAGCGATTCCGTGGGATTGATCGTGTTGCACTTGGTGCACGACCATTGCAGTACGGATGAGATGGTGCCCATTTCGCAGGGGAATTGCAAGAGTTTCGAGATTGGAGTTGCTCGTCGCTCGTTGCTCCTGCTGTTGTTGATGGCTGGCTGGCGGGGGAGTGGATGTGGAGCTGGCAATGGAAATGGTGAGTTGGTGACCGGGCGGAGATGGAGATCGAAAGGAGGACCAAGACCCGGGACCAAAACGAGGACCAAGCGATGGCTTCCAACAGTTTCACGCCGCGGAGACGTCGCCGTTTCACACCATTTTTTAACTGTTGCCGCTAGGGTTGTCGACGTGCGCGAACACCTGCAAGACAGGGTTGCCGGAGTGTGAGACCCTGTCGTACAGGGCTGTCTAGGCAACCCAGTTGTGTTTCCCCGCATAGCCAGTGCTGTAAAATGACGCAACTGTCACTTTAAGAATATGCATAATTTGGGTTCTCGGTTCGTATTAATTGTGAGAGAAACATTTTTTTTTCAAAAATGTCTGTCCTAAAGACAAATTTCATTGACAAGTAAAAAAAAACTCTGTCGAAACTTAAAGTTGCGGTAGAAATCTGTTAGTCTTTTACGCATGTATTGGAAAATGTACTATTTCGTACTAAAAAAATTCAAAAACAAAATAAACTAAAATATTGTAGTATCTTAAGAGGTAGACTTGGGAACAGCCAAGGTAAAAAGTACCACGAAATTATATCTCGGTACGTACCTAGGTAAAAGTAGCTAGGTACTTTTAAGTTGCGGTTAAAAAACAGTGCACCCGCAATTGATGGTGCCTATTTATTTCAAACTACACTAGCTTATAAATTTAAGTCAATGAAATCCTTCAGAGATCAAACCTTGAATTTCGGTTGCTGATGGACTCCCTGATTTAAAAAATGATACTCCAAATTTTGTTGTATGCTACCGTTTTCTTAAAATTGTAAATAACGTTTTTCTTTTCTTTTCATGCCATTATTATTTACGTTCCCATATATGTTTAGGTATTGGTTTCCTTATATAGATGCTAGATCTCGACAAAGTTTTAATAAATTGCTAAAACTGAAGTTCCGACAACATAAATGAATTCTTAAAAAATGCACGTCTGAAAACCGAAAATAGTTTGATTTTTTTATCTTGAAGATGGAACATTCACGACAACCAAACTTCTTAAAAACGCTTCTTATTGATATTGCAAATTATTAAAAACGTTTGTTATTGAATATTTACGCGAATAGGTTAGCGTCTGGGTCTGTGAGGTTAACAGGTTTTAGCTCAGTTTGTGAATCGTCACCGAGAAGCCAAAACAGCTACGAGAAACATGGTCTTCTTATTTCTAAAAATGTTTATGGAAGAAAATATGTTTGTTTGATTTTAAAAATTTAAATGCGCATATTCGCTACTGCTTAAGTTAGGAAGGCAACTTTGACCATGAAGAAGACTTATAAGACTTATTAATCGCAAAAATCATTCTTAAATTATTTTATTGCAAGAGATATAATCAGACAAAAAAACGTGATTTCCATAAATTTAAATTAACGCAATTACCAGAGATGATGGACTATAGATGTAGTGGAAAACTATGCTTAGACAGCATAATCATATGCTGTTGGGCCTACCTTAAATTTCTGTTGGTTGATCATCTTAAATATATTTTTAGCTTTTGAAATGATTTGCTCAACGATTCGGAATTTTAGATTGCTTAAGTTTAATTTTACGTTACATTTGGAAATCGTATCAGAATATATAACGCTTTGTAGCAGTATATTTAAACTGCAAGTACGGTCACACCGATTTCCAATGGAGATGACAGTAAATCGATATGTCATACTGATTAAAAACATCGCACGATTTAAAAATCGATTTTGCGTCCACCTATAATAGCAACCGCGTGCAACTTTCAACTCGGATCGAGTTCAATCCATTTTGGCCACTAAACAGAGGGAATGCAGCGACAAAAACCGAAGGGACCGGGAAGACCGGGTCCGCGATCCAAGCCGGGATCAGGCAAGGGCAAGGTAGCACCAGGTGGCCGTGGAGGCGGGGACAACAAGCAGAAGCGTCCGCGGCCGGAGTTCAACAAATCCCGGCTGGCCGCCACCGATGCTGAGATTCGAGAGCTGCAGGCCCAGTACGCAGAAATAGATGCTCCTGCCATCAAGAAGTTTGCTCAGTTTCCGCTGTCCAAAAAGACCCAAAAGGCGCTGGCGGAGTTCAAGTTTGTGCATCCCACGCAGGTGCAGCGGGAGAGCATTGGACCCGCGTTGCAGGGCAAGGATGTGCTGGGCGCGGCGGTCACGGGAAGTGGCAAGACACTGGCCTTCCTAATACCCGTAAGTGGGAAGTCCTTAGCATTCGAAGGTATATAACACCCCAATCTCTTGCAGGTTCTGGAACACCTGTTTATGAACAAATGGTCGCGCACCGATGGAGTTGGTGCCATTATTATATCGCCCACCCGCGAGCTGGCCTACCAGATCTTCGAGACCCTCAAGAAGGTGGGCAAGCACCACGACTTCTCCGCCGGCCTCATCATCGGCGGCAAGAACCTAAAGTTCGAGCGGACGCGCATGGACCAGTGCAATATCCTCATCTGCACACCAGGCCGCTTGCTGCAGCACATGGACGAGAATCCGCTCTTTAATACGAGCACTATGGAGGTGTTGGTCCTGGACGAAGCAGATCGTTGTTTGGATATGGGTTTCCAGAAGACACTCAATTCCATCATTGAAAACTTCCCGCCCGTGCGACAAACGCTGCTTTTCTCGGCCACGCAAACGAATACGGTGCAGGATTTGGCAAGGCTCAATCTAAAGGATCCAGTCTATGTCGGCTATGGAGAGGCAAGGCCAAGCGAAGAACCCTCGAGCTCCAGGAAAGGTCCGAGCACCGCTGTCTTGGCCGTGCCCGAGCTGCTGCAGCAGAGCTATGTGGTGCTGAACCTGGAGGACAAGATCACCATGCTGTGGTCGTTCATTAAGAACCATTTGAAGCAAAAGATCATTGTGTTTGTGTCCAGTTGCAAGCAGGCCAAGTATCTGTACGAGATCTTCTGTAAACTGCGTCCGGGTAGCCCGCTGCTGGCTCTTTACGGAACCCTCCACCAGGATCGCCGCATTGCCATCTATGAGGATTTCCTGCGCAAGAGCCACGTGGTAATGTTCTCCACCGATGTGGCCTCACGCGGTCTGGACTTCCCCGCCGTCAATTGGGTGGTGCAGTTGGACTGTCCGGAGGATGTCCCGCAGTATATCCATCGAGCGGGTCGTTCGGCGCGAAATAAGACACGCGGCGAGTGTCTTTTGGTTCTGACACCCAGCGAGGAAGAGTACATGATTGGTGCACTCAAGGAGCAGCTGAACATTGACATCCGCTGCGTACAAATCGATCCAAAGAAGCTCTTCTCGCCGCGCGTCAAGATCGAAGCCTTTCTGGCCCAATTCCCTGAGCTGAGGGCCACCGCTCAGCGTGCCTTCCTCTCCTACATAAAGTCCGTTTTCCTGATGCGCAACAAGCGGCTGTTTAACGTCTTTAGCCTAGATCTGGATGCATTTGCGCAGTCGCTGGGCCTGGCAGTTACGCCGCGTGTCCCCTTCCTGGAAAAGTTCCTCTGGCGGCAGAAACAGATGCAGCTGCAGAAGGAACAGGGAGATGTCCCACCAGTGAATAATCCAGTTCTCCCCAAGATGACCAAACAACAGAGCTTTGGCGGCGCCAACGAAGACGAAGATGATAGTGATGACGAAGACTTCATCAAGGTGAAACGCAAGGATCACGATGTGGAAGGAGAACCAGTAAAACTGGACGAAGACGAGGGCAATGAGGACGAGCCAGAGGCCCCTCTGGTGGTGCCCAAGCGCGAGAAGCTGGTCACCAAGGCCTCGCTGGCCAAGAAGGCTCTAAAGAAGAACCTGCAGGTGAACTCCAAGCTCAAGTTTGATGACGAGGGCGAAACGGTGGCGGATGATCGCAATCAAATGAAGGCGCTGAGTGCCAGGCAGCGAACGAAAAAGCAAGACGACGACGACGGAGGCATAGATCTGGTGCTGTCCAAGGCTCTCCTAACCGAGGAGGATCAGTACGACAAGCAGCGATTCCGGGAGCTGGTCAAGAAACGACACAAACTGCAGCGGGAGAAGCTGCGCAAGAAGACAGAAGAGGTCAAGGGAAGCGACGAGGAGGAGGACCAAGATGCTGATGATGCCGCAGATGCCGAAGATGCTGACAGCGAGAGTGACCATTCAGTGGACCTTTCGTGGCTGCCAGATCCCGACAAAATCTACAGAAATAAGTCTAATACGTCTGATCGGGATGCGGGTGCGCAGTCTTTATCTGAATCAGAGCAAGGCGATGCTACCGACAATGATGACGATGACAACGTCGAAGAAAGCTCCGATGAGGAGCCCGCCTACAAAAAGTCCAAGCTAACGGATAAGATGACTTTAATGGACACGGAGGCCATTGCGGCCAGTCTTTTGGGTAGCTAAGTTAAGGGCCCGACTGTGTAAATAAATTAATGCCAATTATTTTTTTAATAATAATTTGTAATTTAATAGACGTTTGTTTTAATTGATACGAATTTTATGATTTTATGATTAATGGAACTAAACAAAAGCAAATAATTTATGTTTCATGAGGCAATACAAACTTAGGGTAAAACCTGCTTATTTTAATGATCATATGACCTTAATAGAGATTCAAACGTATCCGATTGAAAATATTAAAGTGTTTTGTCTCTGAAACATATGCAGGGCTATCATGACATTGTATGAATGTTTGGCGAGTTCTGCTCTAGAATATTATTTAGATTAAATTGCATTAATTTTTGTTAATATGTGTAGGAATGTCTTATTAATGTCCATATATATATGGTTGAATCGTGGTTTGGCCATTATGGTTTCCTGAGAGAATTGTTTTTAGGGAAAATATGTTATTAAGGGGTTTCGCATGTGTAACGAGTTAAAAAAAATAAATTAAATACAATATGTGGACAAAATAATTGGTCAATGCTATTTTTTTTTGAAATAACAGGATATAAAATAAGTATCGCTATAGCTTCTCCGACTATTATAAATATAACACCAGAAAACAATCGGGTTTGGATCTGATAAATTTGTTTTCTATGTAGCAATGGGTAAATATATACCGGACGATTATATCATATAGCTCCTATAGTTTTACCTTCGCTGTTATTCAATTGATTTGAAAACAAGAAAGAAAACAAACTTCGGCAAGCCGAAGTTCATATACCCTTGCAGCTATTTCAAGAATTAAACATTTTTGAAAACATTAAAATTATGATTTACTTTCGTATATGTTTAAAAACATTGAAGCTAGGATGATTTGCAGCTGAATTATTTGATAGTTATTTTATATATTTTTATTAACCATATGATATAGACGTCCGATTTTGATAAAATTTAAACCATAATTCTGAAATATTTAACCATTGCTATATGTCGAAGAACTAAACAAAAAATTAAAAAACAGAATAGTTATTATTTTTTTCATTTATTTTTCCGATTGTTCCTATGGGAGCTATGTGATATAGTCGTCCGACTTTGATGAAATTTAAACCGTAAATCGGAAATATTTAACCATTACTTAATGTCGAAGAACTAAACAAAAAATTAAAAAACAGCAAAGTTATATTTTTTTTCATTTATTTTTCCGATTGTTTCTATGGGAGCTATATGCTATAGTCGTCCGATCCGGCTTATATACTACCTGCAATAGAAATACAACTTTTGGGAAAGTTTCATGCAGATAGCTTTAAAACTGAGAGACTAGTTTGCATATAAACGGACGGACAGACGGACATGGCTAGATCGACTCGCCTAGTGATGCTGATCAAGAATATATATACTTTATAGGGTCGGAGATGTCTCCTTCACTGCGTTGCAAACTTCTGACTGAAAATATAATACCCTCTGCAACGGTATAATAATTCAACATATAGTTATGGTTTATTATTTTAGAATTCCAGTTGTTATTAAGGATATCATAAAGCTGCCATAAGAACGATCGAATAAGTCGTCGCAGCTTTACTGCTTTAAAATAATTTTATTCGATTATTAAAATGTTAAAGAATATTGCCTTTAAAGGTCAATATCTGCAATATTTACAAAGTTATGTGATTTTGAACTGAGAGGCGCGTTTGAAAGTGTTCAAAATTTTCAACACGTTTTTCTTGAAACACCTTTTTTTCAATTTCAACAATTGTTTTTTAAAACAAAATAGAATCAAAATATTGTTTGAATTTAAAAGTCAATTCTTTAACGAAAAATAAAATTGAATTTGAAGCGATGAAAAGAAAATGCAATTACGACAATTACAATTTTCTTTTGAAATGTGTATCTGTCGCATGGAAGCTACAATCATAAAGATTAAAAAATAGTTGGTTTTGTTGTTTAAGGCGACGATTAAGGACGTTACAGTGTACACGATGGAGATACTCCTTAGGCGAGACGATATGTATGCGGCATCCGTATAAACAGTATAAGTGTTGTTTTTGTCTTGCAAAAATTTTTAAATACTTTTTAAACATGTATATCTAAAATTTCAAAACGTTTTAGCTTAATATACCTGAGAAAAAAATCATAAAAATGAAGTATTTTTCGACTCTGTAAAAGAGGTTCCCCCTAATAGTATATTGTACTATCTTGAGTTGAAAAATTTTAGAGAATACTCTATTATTAAAAGTCTTAATCTGAAAAGCTTTCAATAAAAACTGAAAACTGAAAGCTTTTGGAATTAATAAGAATCGCCTGTTATAAATACCTGACCAGAAATATTTGACAAAAACAGCTTTGTAATTGATTGAATTGTTGTTGTGATCTACTCGAGCTGCGCTGTTTCAAACGAGTTAATTTATTCATAGCCAGAAATCCCCAAAACTATCCCCATTTTACTTGCTGTCAGAAAAAGATCAGTTACCTTCGGATCCTATGAAAAATCGAATCGAAAGACACTCTCAAGTGGTTTTATGTTCAAAGTGTCTTGCTTTGAGACTGAGAAATTCGGTTTGCTCTGTTTAGTAGCCCGTTTCCTGAATCTGAAAAAAGTGTCTTGATTTTAAAATTGTTTTAGCTTAGTACTGAAATGAATAAACTTATCTGGACGCCACAACACAAATTTATATTTTTTCTTATATTAGTTCAAAAGGGAAACAATAAAGGGTCGTTTTTAAGCCTTTAGGAATATAAATATATTAAGGTTTTTGCTTATGCTTGTGCTACTATTCAGGACAAACGAGCAACAGTTAAAGTGCTTCATCAAGTGAGATCAAAAACCGCGAATTCTTCAGAACATGATGTACTCGTATATAGACCTTTCTAAATGATATTTATCGAATCAGATGATGGTATGTATATATTTTTTATTCAGCAACAATAATAGTTTTTTTTATACCCTTGCAGAGGGTATTATAATTTCAGTCAGAAGTTTGCAACGCAGTGAAGGAGACATCTCCGACCCTATAAAGTATATATATTCTTGATCAGCATCACTAGTAGAGTCGATCTAGCCATGTCCGTCCGTCTGTCCGTCCGTTTATATGCAAACTAGTCTCTCAGTTTTAAAGCTATCTGCATGAAACTTTCCCAAAAGTTGTGTTTCTATTGCAGGTAGTATATAAGTCGGAACGAGCCGGATCGGACGACTATAGCATATAGCTCCCATAGGAACAATCGGAAAAATAATTGAAAAAAAATTATTACTTTGCTGTTTTTTAATTTTTTTTTTTAGTTCTTCGACATATAGCAATGGTTAAATATTTCAGAATTATGGTTTAAATTTCATCAAAATCGGACGACTATATCATATAGCTCCCATACAAATATAAAAATATATAAAAGAACAATCAAATAATTAAGCTGCAAATCGTCATAGCTTCAATGTTTTTAAACATATACGCAAGTAAATCATAATTTTAATGTTTTCAAAAATATTTAATTCTTGCGATAGCTGCAAGGGTATATGAACTTCGGCTTGCCGAAGTTTGCTTTCTTTCTTGTTTAATATAAGTTTAATAACCGCAAAATCTTTACACGATGAAGGTCTATATACTTCATTGAAGACGTTTCATTATTTTAATGTAATCCGAAAATCGAAATTCTTTGTTAGTTGTATGACTTTATTTCTATAAAAAAGCAATATAAATTTATATTTTCTTATTTGAGTTGAAACAGGGAACAATATATGAAAAGACACTTAGTTATTCCAGTTGAAATTTTTTGCTCATTTACTGATCGAAAGCGGCTCTGACCCAGACTTTAACTGATTTTTTGGGACACATTTTTATATTTTTTCATCTAGTAACGTTCAGACACCCAACACGAAAGAAACAAAAAAGTGTCTTTGCTCAGGCAGGGACTGATCTCAATAAATTTTGATCCGAGTCTGACGGATTAAAAGGTTGAACATATTTGGGGAGCTCTGGTCATAGCTTTTGATAGGAGTTGTTACCTGATAATCATAGACAAGAAGATCAAGTTCTAGATTGACGCTTATTCTTAACTCTTAACTTTAGATATTTATCTATCTGAAAGGTGAATGCTTACTGCGTTCGATATGAAAATGTGTTGACTTGGTTTTGCGCAAATGCTTATTCCTGTTCTAGAAACGGCTGACTCATCTACTTCTTTAAGTACGCAATTTTATCACCTTAATGGCAGTCAAACAGAAAAGGCGGTTGACTTTCTTTGTATTGTCTTAGCCCCAACAACCAAAAAATGAGACCAAGTCGATTTTCCCTCTTATCAACTTCAGATAAGAATCCATGTTTATTTTTGCATTTTATTTACGGTGAAAAGAAAACAAAAGTCGCAGTTCGCTGGAAACCTCGAGTCCCTATATATAAGATCCACTACGAGTTTTCGAGATCACACGTTACCAAGAACTCAAATAATTTACCACACTTATAGAAAATACCAGTTGCAATGGTGCAGATCAAATTCCTGTTCGCCTTCCTCGCTGTGATGACAACTGTTGTCCTGACCACCAACATGGCTTCAGCCTCGGATTGTCTTTCTGGAAAATTTAGCGGTCCCTGCTTTCCTTGGGACGGAGAACTTTGCAGACGCCTCTGCAAGGAGGAAAAGCGAGTCAGCGGTCATTGCAGTGCCGGCATGCAGTGTTGGTGCGAAGAATGCTGATCTCCCAGTTCTTTTGAAGCATTAACATATTTGGAATTATGCTCAAAATAATCAACACACACATACATATATATGTATTTAGAGCATCTCCTAATTAAAAACAATTATAGCTTTGGACTCGTTTGATTAAATTGAATGAAATTTTTACACAAAAATCTATTGACGCATTTCCTATCGAATGAAATATATTTTGTATTTTTATATTTAAAATTAAGAAATTTTCAGAGACATTATCAATAAAAAAAAAGGTTTTTTTACCTGCAGTTGAAAAAAAGTATATATTGTATTTAGGTTTGAGTAAAACTACTTTCCGGCAAACAACACCATCGTTATGTGTTAGAAAATTAATTTTATTATTATTTAATTATTTTTTCCCCAAAATAGTTTATTTTTTTATTTTTTTTCATTTTCATTTATTTTGCAAATGAGGAGAGTCAAACCTGATCTTAGGATTACATTCCCCACATACGATTGCCCACTTTTTCGGTTCCATACAAATCGAACCACTAATTGTAAATTTTTACTAAGTATGTTATGTTTTTATGTCGCAGGTCGAACGTTTTTCGAAAGATTACGATTATTCTTAAAAAATTAATTTTATGTACAAAAAATTGACATACATAGAAATGGAAAAAGACTTGCTTGACCAAAACTCACATACGTGTCGTATGAGTAATTTTTATGGAAAATTTAAGATAATTGCGCATGGGCCTTTGCACCCATATCTAGCATTTAGAAAGGTAAGATTATGATTCCTTATAAAAAAAACTGCCGTTCTGTATGTTACATACTGTCTCAACGTCGATTTAAATTTAGTTTAGTTAAGAGTCCAATAATCATCGAGTGTTTAACAAAGGGGCTGTTTTTCTTTTTCCACTGCCTTATGCAGACCAATACCAAAATATAAGAGATACTAAATTTTAAAAATATAATCTCAACAGCTGAGAATTAAAAATGACTTTGCAAAGAAGTCAAACCCAAATCCAAGTGAAGCCAATAAATAAACAAGGACAAACGAATAAGAGATCAACATGCTTTTAATCAAATTCACCATGTTAATTTGAATTTCTAAATTTACTCAGTGGAAAATGCTACGCACATGGACTGAAAAAATATGGAAAATCGTTCAGAATTCATTGGGGTGCCTGAGCCAATCTACAACTGTGATGCCTCGCTTAGTTTTGATAAATCGAGGATCCAGGTTAAACACTTCGATTCATATCTCAAAGTATATTTGTATAAGTTAACAATTAGCGATATTATGCTAGTTTTCCATTTATTTTTCCGTTTTTTATTACCTGCAAAGAAAGAAGAGTTTGGGGATAGTTTTATACAGTTAGCTTTACAACTCAGTTTGCGTAACAACAGACAGATGATGCATTAGATAAAAATTAAAAAAAAAATAAGGAAAGGTAAATTTTGAATTGGTTTTTAATTTACATACCACCCCCAGAAAAAAGTCGCTTTCCAAATGCTTCACAAATATTTGGAAAATGCCCACAAATTTATTTTTGTTTTGTTTGATTTGATTTCATTATTTTCTCGTCTTTTGGTTGGGACACACATCCTCCACATCGCAACCAGCCCTTTGGATGCAGCCCAGGAGAAGTGGCCACCATCTAACATGGGGGATCCGGAGCGTGGGAGTGAGAGGTGGAACGGGGCGAGCGGGACGGGGAGAGGCGCTGCGTTCCGCTCGGGAAGGGCGCTTTTGGGGGGAGTCCCCTTTTCCGTTAAAAAGGGGGGCGTGGCTGCTTGGCATGGGCGTGGCATAAAATTTGCTTTTAAAAATATCATTACACATCACGTCAATTACAATTTTTTTGTTCGTTTTGTTTTGCATTTTTTTCGGTTCGTTTAGACATATTTGTTTTTTTTCAGTTTAGCGTATATAAATAAATGCATACACATATATACGGTAATATATAGACAGTATATATATGTACGTGTACAAATAATGCAATAGACACACATCTATACAAATTATACTATATAATGGTTAAGTTTTTCTTTTCTTTTTCTCTCGTTATTTGTTATTTGTTTTAAATTTTACTTTGAGTGCTTTTTTTCTGTTTTTTTTTTTGGCAACAGATCTCGCGTTATTTTCTTCCTTTAAGTTTGAGGTCCGTTTCAGACACAAGATACACAATTACATAATTAAGTTTCGGTTTTTATATAAAAAATTAATGCTCAATTACAAGAAATAACACTTAGGCGTATGTTGTCTATAATTTTTTACGTTTTTTTTGTTTGCCTGTCTGCATTATTTTCTTCTGCTTACCTTTCTTGAATACCTGCTCCTCGTTTTTAGTTAAAATATATGCGTACATGGGTAGAAATTGTATAATTTGTTGTTTTGCTAATTTGATACAGTACACACACACAATTTGTTTTTAAAGAGACAGATAGAGAGAGAGTATTACATTAAGGATTATATGCCTGGTTAATGCAAATATCAATTAGACAATCAGTGGAGATTCGAGTGTGGGGGAAATTTTTGTTTTATTTTTTTCGCTTTTTTTTGTTTTTAAGGGAGATTTCCATTGCCGTTTCGTAGTAATTATCATTTTTTGCTTATACGGTAGCTATATAATTATATAGTGTATATCTAGTTGGATGACAAACATACATGTACAGACACACACACTGAGATGCACATTTAGTTTAGCTCGAAAATTAGATTTTGCTCGGTTGTTTGTTACTGGTTTTTATAAAGGTTTTTGTTTTTTCTTGCTTTCTTTCGGTTGTCCTTTCTCCCTAAGCCTCCTCCTCCTCCTCCTCTACTTTCTCCTACACTAGACACACAGACATTTAGTGGTATTTAAATATATATTATATATCTAGCATTATCGCTATTTTGTTTATATGGAAATTTGTTTGCTGATCGCGCGTTATTTTTAACATACAATTACAATTACATTTATAACATACACAGATACACAGTAAATTTTATTTAACCATTTTCATACTAGATATCATCTCTCCATGCGTTCGTCTAATTCTTGGTTTTTGTTTTTTGTTGTTGTTTTTTTTGTGCGTTGTCGCTGGCGCCCCCGCCCCGCCCCTTTCATGGAAGGGGCGAGTGTGGGTGGTGGGTGGAAAAAGAGGCGGAGACGATGTGGGCGGAGGGGCGGGGTCTGGGGGGCGGCGAGGGGAGGTCTCACTCAATGGATTCAACGACAAGGGACGCACTACACAGAGAAAATACTTGACGCGTTTACATATATCACGGAAACACAACAAAGCCATCGATACAAAATATATATTGTATATATAAAAAATAAATATACCCTACTTAGCCAAGTTCTGTTGTCTCGCTCGCACACACAATCACTAATCACACACTGCACACAATAGACCCACGTATATTATATACTATTATAAATATGTATATGCCTGGCTGCTGATCCTCATTTGAATGAATCGATCGATCGATGGGCTGCCTCCTGCTAACGCTTCCTGCCTCCTTTATCTCCACCTTCTTCCTCCTATGGCTATTACTAAAATGCTCTTCAGATCACCCAAAAAACACAAAGCACACATGGCACTGGCGCCCACATTCATACCATACACAAACGCACATTGAATCTAACTATCTCGTTTTGGCTTCGCGTCCGGCGGTCAAGTAGAAGTCCAAGTGTGCCATGGCCTGGCGGGGATCTAGGCCTAGACCATGACAAAAGCGTCCTTGCCGCAGAACAGATACGGGAACTGGTCAATCATTGTCTGGACAATGTCCTCCAGATATGGCCGCAGCTGCTCGAAGTGGCCCATGTCGGTGAAGTCGATGGGTATGAGTGTAGGCCACCAGCAGATGGCCAAGTTCTTGCTGTCCATGCTATTTAACTTGGAGTTGTCCGAGACGCTGTTGGAAATTAACGAGAGCATTGAAGAACCAAACAATCGGGAATTGGTATTTGTCCGAACTTACTGCACAAAGTGCTGGAATATGTATTTGAGTATGGCAAAGTTGATGGGCGGCAGCTTCTGAAGCAGCGATTTTAAAGCTATCAAACGGCAACTCCGGTCCGTTTTGACCTCCACATTCAGTTTGGAGTTGCCCACACCACGGGAGCCTGCAAAAGAAAGCTTTCAAATAGGTCCATAAGGAGTAACGCTTAGCTGCCACATACCGGCAATCTCCTCCAGCTCCTTTATTATATCCTTGCTAAACAGCGGAGGCAGACGCTTGGAGAAAAAGTCCTTCAGTGCCGTGGCCACTGCGTTGACGGGAATGTCCAACGCGTCAATCTCAGTGTTAGTGTCTGCGCAAATTTGAAAAATGTTAGTCATATTCAAATATGTTAGACCATTAGGTTTTTAGGGCCAACTTACCCTCTTCGAATCGCTGGAAGAGCATGTCGACGTGTGCCCTGCTTCCGGGTACCCGATAAATGCCCTCGGAATCCAGGCCCTCCTTCTCTATAAACTCCACGCACTTGTTGAGGAAGATGGGGATCTCGCCCTGCTCGGAGCTTATCATCAGCTTGCCAAACTGAGCCTCCGCGGACTCAACCAGGCCCTTGGCATTTTGTTTGAGCTTGCGCTTGAGCTTTTTCTCCTGTTCCTTCTCCTTCTCCTGGAGCTTGCGCAGCCTGGCCGTTTCCTCCTTGATGCGCCGCTTCTCCAGCTTCTCAAAGTCCTTCAAGCACTTGGCGTTCATGTTGTATTCGGGCAAGTTCTCCGCACCGAAGATACCAGCAGCTGCCAACTCCGGCACCATGGAATACTGCATGGCAATAGAGAATATTATAAGCTGAAGTTGTAGAAAAGTAGTAGTAGAAACCTACCTCTGGCGACTTATCGCTTTTCATGAACTCCGGAACGCCGGTTTCGGTTTTCTCTATGGAAATTCAAAGGAAAACCATTGAAATTAATCGTTAAGTGGAAATACATCCGTGTCAAAATAAAAGAATGTGTAAGAAATGCGATAATTAATGTCACAATAAAATACCAAAAATAAGTTGTAAACGGTGCGGCGGCTGCCTGACAGAATACTACTAATACTACTACTGTGCACCTGCCGCTGCTCCGTTTAGAAATTATTTAAATGAATGATTGCCAAATCAGAGATAAAGATAGTCTTCAGCTTCCGGTGAAGATCGCAGCCCCTGGGG